AAAAAAAAAAAAAAAAAAAAAAAAAAGTAATAATAATAATTTTAAAAAAAGAATTATAAGCATAAGAAGTATTTCTAGATCTTTTAATCTCATTCACACATCTAAAGAATGTTATATAATAGTGGTGGAGCTACGATACCTGTTTCTAAATAACCAGGGGTCTACAATGTGAAAAAGATTTGTTTATAAAACTAAAAAGAGCAGTAAGAAAAATGAGTAGAAATGACAAGGGGGCTGTTAAGAAGTACTGCCCGGCATTAACATTCCAATTACCACGGTGTTGTATCAGAAACTAGAAGTCCATCTAAGGAGAGCTATTGAAGTAAAGCGATGCCCATATCGGAGAAGAGGTTTGACTAGATGATTTCTAAAGATACCGCAACTCTCAGATTCTAGATTCAGTCAGAAAATGAAATACCTTTTCTTTTTTAATATCTTGTAGCGTTTTACACTGCTCCTTCAACTGTTGCTCTTTCTTTGCTAAATCCTGCTCCAACGTAGCCGTGGAACTCTTCAGTTCTTGAATTAATTTATTTTGGTTTCCAATTTGATTTCTGTTTGAAATCAAGTCCTCCTGTGCTAGAGAAAGCTTCTCTTCTACAGACTTACAAAAAACAAACAAACAAAAAACCAATTTCCCCAAATTATTGTATGTCTTTTTTTGTTGTTTTTAGCAAATTTCAACAGAAACATAACAGCATAAGTATAGTAGAAAGCAATATACTGTAAAAGGATAGCTTGTTATGCCCTTTAGTAAGATCATGTAAAAGAGAAAGGACACTAGACCATTAACTCTCTTGCCTACGAAAAACATTTTAGTGTAAGATATTTAATAAAACTGAAGCAATTCCAAAACCTCTAGAAAGAGTAAGTACTACTAGCTAAGTGATATTAAGGAATATCAAATAAAAAGGGATCATATCGAACACACTTGTAATATATGAAAATATATACATATATGTCCCTTGACATGCTGAAATCCTCAATAAATAGTTTTTGTCTTGGGAAAAAAAACAAAAAACAAAAACCAACAACTGTATTTCACATCCGCAAACCTGCTCAAGTGAACCAAAAGAAGAAAGTCAACCAGATACATGGGGTTCTGTTTCTGAGAAGGCCATCGCCCCATCCTCTTCACTTCCCATCGATGTGGCAGAAACAGTGTTGTCAGTTAACAATGCCCACAGTTACTGACTGTTCTAAAGCCCAGATATTTTGAGAAGCCAAAGCTTATGAAAAGGGCAAGCTTTGTGGCCCCTTAGATTTCAGACTGGGGTAGATATGGTAACAGGTAACAGAAACTGGCAGGGACCTTGCCACTCTCAGCTGCAACTGCAAAGAATCAGAAGGGAAGGCAATGAACTCCATGATGCTCTTCTACCATTGGGAAGAAGTTAATCTTATTCTGGAGATACAGTTCCTTTGAAAAGGAGGGAGAAGATCTAATTTGGGAAGGATCCCTGCTGGCTAGGCTTGACTATAGTAAGCATCCAATGGAAAAGAAATAAACAAATACTTTTTAAATGAAGACTGTATTTAAGGGGTTTCTCAACTATAGGGTTCCCTAAAGAGACAGTTTATTCCTTACAAATAAACCCAGTTCTGAAGTCTTTCTGATATCAATGAAGTTTGATTTCCAGTGGCTTCTAGAGAACACTAAAAATCCCAAGGCTTCTTTTTAAAGAATCCTAAAGTCATCTAGTCCTTTACTAACCAAGCTGTTAGCCATTAACTGAGTATACTGGTAAGGTAAAAGATAGTCCTTAACTTAAAGAAGCTGGCTATGTAGCCCGAAAAACAGAACCACCACATAAAATGGAAGCTGTACGTAGCAGAAGAGCACTTGCTATAATGCCAAACGCACAGAAAAACAGTGAGTGCGAGAACTTTCCCTGAAATGTGTTTATGTAAGGCTCCATGGTACATGTGGGAACTGACATAAGCATCACAAAGGGTGAGAGTGATTTCAAATAAAGATAATAAAATTTGACAAAGCCTAGCCCATACGGTCTATAGCAATTATTATCAGGTAACAGAGGTCCTGATCTAATACTAAAGAATACCAAGGCTTGCTAGAGCCTGAAATTAACAGCTCCCCCAATCTCTGCCCACAAGAATTCCAAACTGCCCATGGTTTAAATAATACTCAATAAAATTTTAAACTCCCAAGACCCAATGACTAAATCTTTAAAGTCAAGCTCAAAATCTGGGCTATGCTGACATACTGCTCTTGTCTCTGAATATTTGTCAATGCCATTCAGTGATACACTGCCATGTATTTTAAATATTCCTTTTGTCTTTCTTGTTATAGGCCATTTTATTTTCACCTACTCAGCATATCTTCCTTTGGGGAACTCCCCTCTCCCATTCAACAGTTTTGTGGGCCTATCTTTAACCCATTGACTCCCACTGGAACAAGCAAATCCCTGAGTAGATCAACTACCAATCTTGACCCTGAATACCACAATCAAATTACAGCAGTGTAGCTAAAAAAGAAATTTCTGCAGTGTTTTCTGGTAGCTATTGTTTTTTGTCTGCTCCACAATTTTACTCTTCTTTCAAAATAAACTTTTAAAATGTTTATTATTTTCTTGATGTCTGATTAAATGATATAAGGAATAGTATAAAGATTTATATTTAATTCTAAACTTGTTATCCTAGAATTTTCACTTTACTCAGGGTGCAAAATGTACAGTTACATTCCACTTCTACCTTTCTTCGACAGCAAAGAATAGCACACAGCACAGCCGTTTTGAAATATAGTCAACAAACGTAAGTATTTCATAAATAATCCAGCAGATGGGGCTAAAAGCATGGATCAGGCCAGCCTGTTTTCCATTCTACTGGTATCTAGATGTACAATGTCAGCCCACAGATGGCAGCCTTGACTTAGGTAGGTGTCATGCTACAAAGTTCTTAACCTCTCCCCTTCTCTCTCACATGCAACAAGATCATTCATCACTGAAGCAAAAGAAAAATAATGGCTGATAACCATCTCTTATTCTGGTCCATAAATATCATTTCAAGTTCTCAAGGAATTTACTTCTTCATTTTTTTTTTTTTTTAGCTTCCTAAGTAGTTCAGATACTTCTCATTTTGGAAACATTAATAATAGAATTTAGCAATATTCTATTTCATATTTAAAAATCCTAGTGATGATAAAAGAGTAAAGGGCTGTGAATCACAAGAACTGAGGTCTAATCATGGTTCTGTTATTGTGCAATTCTGGGTCTGTCACAAACCACACCAGGCCTCACTCAGTCTTGTCTGCAAAAGGAGGCTTTGGAATAGAGGACCTAACCATGCCTCTTAACAATTGGAAAACTCCTCAGCAGGCTTGACTCTCTGCCCTTCTCTTTTTTCTCCATGCCTTTGATTTGTTTTCATGTATAAAATTATTAGTATACAACATAGCTTTCGAGCATAATAAAAACCATTGTTGGCTTAATGAAAGAATATTGATCAAAGATCTAAGTCCTGTCACCATGTAATGCTCTTGGGTAAATAATATATCTGTATGAAAAAAAAAGTGTGATTTCTATAGGACTTGTACAATCAATCATTAAGTTTCATCTCCTTGATCAGCTAAACACCCTTCTAATCCATCCATATTCCCCATCCTTACTGTTACTGCCCACACCGCCGTCGTGTGCACCCGGACCAAGTGCCGTCTCCTCTCTGGTCTCTACACTCAGCCCTGTTGCTCCATGATCCACTCCTTACTCTCAGCCAGTCACTGGCCCAACCTACAGATCTGAGCAAATCTTTTCTGTGGTTCCCTACTGCTTTTACAATAAAGCCCAAACTCTTCCACAGACCTTCCCTGACTTTTAATAGTGTTCTAAAGGAAAAAAAAAAAAAAAAGAAAGAAAGAAAAAAAGAAAAAGAATTTAAAGCTACTAAGGGAGCATAGCAAATAAGACATTTTCTAAATGTCAGGTGGTATTTTTTTTCTTATAACAACTGAGCACCATGAAAAGTTTTTGACCCAAGTTTCCTATTTCTTTGTCAAATCATTAGTCACCCCTAGTTCCCTCAGTGCCCTTGCAGCCTGTCTGCATCCAGCCCTCCTGTTTCATCCTGTCTCTCTCATTAATCTCTTCTGCTCCATCCTCCTGAACTTTAAGCCCAGTTCTAGTCAATTCACACCTTGATTAATGGAATTTGTGGAGGAAGGGAGACAGCCTCTTCACTAATCTTCCTACGTCTTGTTTCCTCGGGTCCAATCCAAGCTATCTATCTATAAACCTCTTCCTGGTTAAGTTGTCCAAAGTACTGTCTTCTTCATTTTATTCCTCTGCTTAGACTCTTCACCCCCTCTCCACCCCCAAATATAAACTCCAATCATCTTTGCTCCGCATCTAAGAAACCTCACAATTTGATCCCAATGTTTCCAAATTTATCCTCCAAACACAAACCAGCATGCTAGCAACTGGTAACTGTCTCCTGCCTTTGTTCGTTCCCTGCAGTACCTTTTCTCAAATGTGCCCCTGAGCGAAATGACCTTCCTCAGGACTCTCTATATATTCAAATTCTATATATCCTTGAGCACCTGTTCAAGTCCCACCTCCTTCAGAAAGCCTTCCTTATAACAGCCTATGATAAAATATAGACACAGTATATTTATGTTGTCTAAAAATATCCTGTGATTTTCAACAAAATTCTTCAATAATGTACTTTAAATTAACAAATTAAAAGAAACCAGAAAGGAAAGAAACAAAAAGCATAACATTTCATGATGACAAAAAAAAAAAAAGAAAGAAAGAAAGAAAGAAAGAAAGAAAGAAAGAAAGAAAGAAAAGAAAAAATAAGAACTAGCTGAATCTTGTGGGAAAGAACACAAACGTTCCATTTATCTTAGGGAAATCATAGTTTAATAACACTGCATAAAAATTATTTATCTTTTTTCCATATTCTTCATTTTAATAAACATGATACATCAAATACATGTCAAGAACAAACAATATATGTTTAGATAATTTTTATTTTTTTTAATATATGAAATTTATTGTCAAATTGGCTTCCATACAACACCCAGTGCTCATCCCAAAAGTGTTTAGATAATTAGATTAAGGTTAAGTTTACTTTGAGCTATAATCTCCTAATTTCAATCATTAAGCATTCTGGTAGTCTTGGGAAGCTGACCAACATAAAAACTAAAGTCAAAGTTATCTTTTTACATTTATAAGAAGACAGCTTTAGATAAGCTAATAATGTAGCAATTAGTATATTTCCAAATAATTTTACTGTTATGGATGTTATTTTTAAATGCCCATATTTAACATATATCATATTTTGTTATAATATAAAACAATTCTATTATTAAAAAGCGTATTACTCCAAAAATAATAATTTAATAGAAAACAAGCATGATATTCCACAAATACTAACATTACCTTGTCTATCTGGTCTCAAATCAACCATTTAATGAATGCCTATAAACAACTTCCTAATATTTTTATGATATATTTTACTATACCTTAAGATCTTGCCTTGTGGCAAGAAGTTCAGATTCCTTCCCATAGAAATCAGATTGAAGCTGTTTTAGATTTTCCTGACTTTTTTCATAGGTATTTTGTAACACTGACATTTTCTCTTTCTCTGCTGCAAGTTCCTGGGCTGCTTGTGTTGACTGCTGCTGTAATTTATTCTCAAGCTCTGTCTGGAACACACAATAGTTATTTAGAACAGTATGCATATCACAAACCAGTTACAAATACAAAATGAAATCCACACAAGAAGATCCCTGAGAACAAATTAAACTGTATTTATGCCCTAAAAAACTTAAGAGATTTACAAAATACAAAATCCAACAAGTCCCAATTTAAAAACCAAAAAATGAAAAAGCATTACATACAGAAAAAAGCATTTCACTGGATAGTCCCAAGTATCAATGTCTCAGGAAACTGAGAGTAACAACCACATTCTGAAGGAAGATACAGTGCTAGATGCTTTAGAAGATGATATAATTTAAGGTTGAACTAAGGGAAATTTCTATAGGAAAGAAATAAAAAAGTCATTACTGCGTTCATCATTTCTACTCCCTGAAATTCTAGAATAACTTAGGACATTTCTACAAGATCGTGTTTATTAACAACAAGGCAGAAAAAGAAATCTTGCAAAGATCTGACTCCTCTAAATGCTAAACTTGTCTTTAGTCTTTACGAAGACTCAGAAGATATACACAAATTATGACATAATTAAAATATATGTGTGCAGAGTATGAAAATAAGCACTGGCTTTTAAAATAAATACACTACCTCAATGCAACTTCTGTTTAAATGACCAGTGACCCCCTTGTTCCAAAACCCACTATTCATGTCCTTGTCCACAGCTGACTTCACCTCCCAGCAGTACTTGAAACAGTTGATGATGTTCCCTCCTAGAAACATTCTTCAACCTGGTTTCCAGGGCACCTATCTCATTGGTCATTCCTTCTTAAATTTTTTTACTAGCTCCTCTTCTTCTGTTTAACCTCTCAATATTGTAGGATGCCAGGGTTCTGACCTTTTATTCCATATACAGTCTCTCTCTCTCTAGAAGATCTCAACTATACTCAACTATGGCTTTAAATATCATTTATTGACAACTGACTCCAGAATTTGTGTCTCTAGCCCCAATCTCTCTGCCTGAACTCTGGGCTCATTATAACTGAGTACTTCCCTGACCTCTCCACCTCAGTGACTGACAGAGATCTATCTCAAGCAGAACTCTTGATTCCTGACAGCAAGGCTGCTCATCAAAAAGCTTCTTTCCTCCAATAAATATGGTCATCTATCCACTTGCACAAGCCACAAATGTAGAGTTCTTTTTTTTTTTTTAAAGTTGATTTATTTTTGAGAGGGAGAAAAAAAGAGACAGAGTGTGCGTGGGGGAGGGGCAGAGAGCGAGGGAAACACAGAATCCGAAGCAGGCTCCAGGCTCTGAGCTGTCAGCACAGAGCCCGATGTGGGCTCGAACCTACAGGCCGAGAGATCATGACCTGGGCCAAAGTCGGCCGGCCAACCGACTGAGCCACCCAGATGCCCCTGTAGAGTTATTCTTGATTCCTCTTTCCATCACCTCTCATCATCTAATCTATCAGCAAGTCCTGATGACCCAAACTTCCAAAATAGATTTTCAAATCATCCACTTCTAACACTTTAATTCATTCTATCATCATGTACTGTCTGGACTATTGCAACCATTTTTCAATGTCTTCTCTGCTTGCTCCTTTATCTCTCTGTAGTTAGACTGCACCATTTTCTGCTCAAAATTCTCCAATCGATTCTAATTATCCTTAGAACAAAGTGTATTATTCTCTGTTACCTTCTAATCTATAAATCTTCATGCATATGCTTTGGCCCTTATTTACTTCTCTGAGCTCATTTCATATTACTCTTCCTCTTTCCCACCACACTTAACCTACATTGGTCTTCTGTTTTTAGAAAACACCAAGTTTGTCATAGTTTAAGGTCTTTGCACTAGTTGTCCCCTTGGACCTTTGTATGGACAGCTCTTGCCTTTCAAGCTCAAATCTCTTCAGGGAAGCTTCTTTGGTCACCCAACATTTAGCAGGACTCAGTCCCATCACTGTCTTTCCCATCACCCTGTTTAGTTTCTTTCCCAGGAAAGTGTAAGCCCCACAAGAACAGGTCCCTTATCTGTTCATGACTATATCTCCAGAACCTGAAACTGTGCCATGGCATAATATAGGTGCCTAGTAATATTTCTTAAGGGAATGAATGGCAAATAGACTGGAGGTGGAAAAGCCTGGAATGACTCTTAAGAAGCTCTTATAATAGCCTGGTTAAGAGAACAAAATGGCCTGGACTAAGACTGTGACAGTGGGAAATGAGAAAAGGGAATGGATTCAAGAGAGTTAGGAGGTAGGTTGACAGGAGGTGTGCTAACTGCCAATGGAGGAAAGGGGGTTTGATCTCCCTGTATGTTATCTCAGAACACCCCATGTCACCTCCTTTTCATTCCCTCCAATTTAGATTCTTCATGATGAAGAACTCCTGTACGCCTTTCTTCATCTTGAAGACTATACTGCACTTATATATTTTCTTTTATAGAATACTATTTTTTTCTTTTTTTTTTTCCTCCCCACAAATCTAGTTTTCTTTCCCTTTCGTCACGTTTATGGCTCTCAACTAAGCCCTCTGCAAAGTCTCAGTAATGACCATAAAAGCCCTTTGGGTTCATACTTGGGCCTTCATTATCTTTACTCTGACAGGCTGATTCATTCATTTAAAAAAAATTATCAATGGCTTATTTGTCAAAACACACAGTTCTCTGACTTTGAGAAACTCAAATCTATTAGTGGAGAAGTCAATTTAAAACAAAAACAGGGGCGCCTGGGTGGCGCAGTCGGTTAAGCGTCCGACTTCAGCCAGGTCACGATCTCGCGGTCCGTGAGTTCGAGCCCCGCGTCAGGCTCTGGGCTGATGGCTCGGAGCCTGGAGCCTGTTTCCGATTCTGTGTCTCCCTCTCTCTCTGCCCCTCCCCCGTTCATGCTCTGTCTCTCTCTCTGTCCCAAAAATAAATAAACGTTGAAAAAAAAAATTTAAAACAAAAACAAAACCAGACCAATGCAGCAGTTTGATAATTGCTTTAACAGACATACACCCAAACTTCCAAAGAAGGATACAGGACGGTCAGTCATTTACAATTCATCCTTCACAAACCGACCAGTTTTTGCTCTAAAACAGGTCTGATCACACTCCTCCCTTCTTCAAAGTCTTTAATATTCCAATATTAAACTTGTAAAATGGAAACAACTATACAACATCTACTGTGATCTGACTTCACCTGATTCTTATTCTCCCTTATTCGCCTTATTCTCCCCTCGCTTCTTCACTTATCATGTACTCCAACAGCTAACCTTCTATAACAACATTTTCTAAGTCTTGCAAACTTTGCTAATATTGTTTTATCTCCTTGAAATATCTAAATTCCTCTTGTTTAACCTTTCACAATTATAATCATCTTCAAAGGCCCAGTGCAAATGCTAGTTCCTTAGAAAGCCAGTCAAAATTTCCATTAAGTTCTAATTTTTCTATTTCTGTTTAAGTTCTGGTTTCATTCTCCTTTATACATTAGGGTTTTTTTTTTTCTCTTTACATATCTACTTCCTCATTAAATTACAAACTGGTTGAGAGTTGGGGGCCATATCTTATTCATTCTGAATTCCCATAACAGATTCCAAATAAAGTTGGTGCAGGGGCCAATGACTTATAACCTACTTGCAGAATTCTTGATCTTTGGCTCTCAAACAATCATTTCCAAAGTGTGTGTGTGTGTGTGTGTAGCCTCGCATTATGTAAGTGTACACACACACATATTTATACCCATTTAAACATTATCTTTGTTTTTCCTATTTCACTGTGGGCCAGTGATTAACTGTCACAGACCATCGCTGCATAGTTGACCATGCACACTGACACACTTAGATCATAGTTTGCTATATTTCCATTCAATAGCCAGGAACCACTTTGCTTCTGTACTGCACTGGGCACAGTAGCAGGCATTTTAAATACATTTTCTCAATCTTTACAACAACTCTATGATTCTATTTCATTTATCTCGGAAAGACAACCACTTCCCTGTGACCATAACCCTAAGGTGTGTCACATGAAACTTAAACTCAGATCTGACTAGCTACAACATATGTCCTTTCCATGCTATACTGCTTCTCAATAAAACCAAACCATACTTGCCTTTCGGTGATTCTCCAGTTAGTCTAAATTTATTTTTTTAAGTTTTATTTATTTTGAGAGAGAAAAAGAACAAGAAGTGGGGGGAGGGGTAGAGAGAAAGGAAAGAGAATCCCAAGCACTGCACTGAAAGTGCAGAGCCCAACATGGGGCTTGATCTCATGAATCGTGAGATCATGACCTGAGCTGAAATCAAGAGTCAGATGTTCAACTGACTAAGCCACCCAGGGGCACCTAGTTACTCTAAATTTAAAGTCTAATTTATAGCGACTGGCTAGCCATTCAAAATTCCCCCCAATTTAAAAAGTGTGCTCCTTATTTTAGCATCCATACACTAACATAAATTAACTATATCCATGGCTGAACGCTTGTGTCTCCCCAAAAGTTCATGTTGAAGCCTAGATCCGCAATGTGATAATATTTGGAAATAGGACCTTTTTTTAAAAAAATATTTTAAAGTTTATTTATTTATTTTGAGAGAGAGAGAGCGTGCGCATGCGAGTACACACACATGCAGATGGGGGAGGGACAGACAAAGGGAGAGAGAATCCCAAGCAAGCTCCACACCGTCAGTGCAGAGCCAGAAGTGGTGCTCAGACTTATGAACCATGAGATCATGGTTTCCTGAGCTGAAATCAAGAGGCGGATGCTTAAGTGACTGAGCCCCCAGGTGCTCCTGGAGGTAGGACCTTTAGGAAGTCATTAGCCCTCATACATGGGATTAGTACCCTTACAAGAAGAAACACAAGAGAGATAATCTCTCTTTCAGCCTTATGAGGCTACAGCAAAAAGCATCTACCTACAAGCCAGGAAATGGGTCTTCATATCACTGGATATGCCAGTGTCTTTATATTGGACTGCCCAGCCTATAGAACTGTGAGAAATAAACATTTACTGTTTAAGCCACCTAGTCTATGGTATTTTTGTTACAGCAACCCAAACTAAGACAACTATCAATAAAAACATTTCCTTTAAATCTCATAATTCTTATGGCGTCAATTAGTAAAGTCATACAAAGTATGGGCACATACATTAATCATAAATCTAAAAGAAATCATATTGTAATGAATAATTCAAGAGAAAATGTGTTCAAAATAGTTGGGCTTTTTTTTTAATTCATGAAGTTATGATGCTATAAAAATGAAGATTTGGGGAATACCTGAATATGAGGCTAACAGATTTGGGAGAAAAGAATGACCTCAAGACATCAAATCATACAACAAAATATGTACTGTGATAATTACATCCTGACTTAGGATTATATGTAACACCAAAAATGCACAGGCAAATTTGTCTACTCTTGTTTATTAGAAAATTACTCTTTTGTAAAGTGGCATTAATAATGGTTATAAAAACAGTGGTCAACATAAATTACCTATTTGCAAGGTTAATTTTATTTTCTCTAGTAATATGATAGCCAACTCTTAATGATATGACATACTTTGTTCTACATAATAGAGATTTCACTTTTCTCTTTTCCATGATATGCACATACCAACAGTAGGGAAAAGCTTTTTGTTCAAATATTAAGTATAATACAACTTTGTCAACTCTTGGTGTGGACAAGTATTAAAACATACTTAAGAATAAAAAAATAGATACTTAATAAAAAATTAGAATAGTTTAGAAATGGAAACCATTAAAGATGTAACTTAAAATATCAAACAGTTATAACTCTATGAAACCTACATTCCTTAATTTTTGAAATGCATACCATTTTGTGGTTTTTGTTCTTATCTTCCCTTGGTAAGGATAATTTATTTTTAAATTCCTTTAAAATTTTCTAATACACTAGAGAGGTTATATAAATTACTCCCATCTCATTAAATGTTGTTATTTATGTCTATCAAATCATTAGTACTAGAATTTTAAATAAACATTATCTAAAAACGTGGTTATAGTGAATGGAAATCCAGATTTATATTATTTAATTACATATTTAAGCGCTTTTATACATTAGAAAATACTTTAAAAAATTGTGAGCACATGTAAATTTTTCCCTGTTGCAACTCATCTGTGTTATATTATCTTAACTGCAAAGACTGTCTTCCCATAGAAAGTAAACACATATCATATTACTACCTTCTGTGAAACAGCAATTTTAATTTCTCCTTGGAGTGCTTCAATTTGCTTTTTCTTCTGTTCAGTCAATTGCTTTAGCTCATTTATGTTCCCCTGAAGTTGCTGTTCTTCTTTTTCCTTTTGTTTTAAAGTATTCTGGGCCTGTGCCACTTGTCCCTGCATTGAACTGAGTTCCAAATTCAACTGATGAGAAGTCTAAAGAAAATAAAATCTGTTTAGCATTCATTCCATGAAGACACATTTAGTACCTACTACACACCAAGCATTACTCAGGTAGAAACCACCACTCCCCTGATGGCCATAGGAGATCAACAGTAACCAAAAAAAAAAAAAAATCCCTGCCCTCACGGAGCTTTCATAACTGACACAATTTGCTATTGGATGACATGCTGGATTAATCGTCAATATTTGTTTAATCTTACCTTCCTTTCTAACTTGTAAATATATATTTGGATAGAGCTTGTAAATGAACGAAACTGCTATTACCTTATATCATAGGAAATAGGAATATCAACATCAATCTTTAGACTGCTGGAATGTCTACTGACTTTCAAGAATATTCTCAAAATGCTAACTTAGTCTAATGGCCATGGTTAACCAAAAAGAACAGCTCCATATGAACTATGATAAAACTAAAATCATTTTTCGCAAGTATGTTTAGTATCTGTCTGATGACACTAAACTATACCATTCAATAGTTTCCTTATTTAGAGATCTGGGACATATTGTGCTATTACTTTGTTTTTACAGTCTACTAGGATCTATTTCTGTTCAAAATTAGGTATCATAAAAAGTCACACTGAGGTTCCTCTGTGGTCAGCGTGAACCACTATGATCTCCCACCCTTCCAGCCAAAGTCATGTTTTCATGTTTTATGCATATTATGAACCTAATTTGAGCATTTGACTATATTCAAAGTTAATTTTGAAAAGTTTCACTGCTACATATGGTTGCTTCAGCTCATCTCCAACACAAAGGGAAGTATTTTTGTGCAAAACAGAAGACGGGTAGTGTAACAATAATGATGATTATAATATGATAACCAATGAGAAACTGACAGCTAACATTTGAGCTTTTATTTGCTTATTTTGTTAAGTGTTCTACGGACTTTGAAATATATTAACCCATTTATCTCTTATAATAATCCTCTGGCACAGATTCTCTTATTCGCCCCCTTCTACTGCTGAGGAAACAGGAACACAGAGAAATTAAGTAATGTGCCTAAAGCAAGGCAAGTCAGCATAACGAGCAAATGGCACAGGCAGGATATAAATCTGGACAATCTGAACTCAGAGCTCGGGTAGTAAGTCACCATAATTTTTCCACTTAAAGGCTGGCATCTATAACACAGGTGTCTTCTCTCCATCAACAACCAGACTACAATCACATTAAAGATTTCTCAGGACTAGGTTTTGCTGCTTTTATCAAATCATAGCTCTAGAAAAACTATATACCTGGGTTCTAACCGCAAGAGGTAGGTCTTCAGAGAATAACAACTGTATATTATACCCATTTATTTACTCATTTGCTGGTTTGTTTTTTATGGACAGCAATAAAAGCATTAACCATAAAAGAATCTGTTGTTATACAACCATTAACATACCATTAAATATAAATGTCCATGAAATAAAGAGCCCTTAAAATGTTATTTCTATTAAAAGCCTATCTAGATATTTTTTCAATCATAATAATGTACCCAAATCTAAGTTATCTAATTATAACTCTATAGTAAGTTGATTCAATCAACTTTATGAATTATAATCCTTTATTTTGGGTCTTTTATTATGAACTAGCTTAAATCTTTTTAGTAGTAGGTAGAACGCAAATGACAATTTTATACTATCTTTTTGTGATCCATTATGTTTCAGAGAAATAAACCTCCTTTGATTTAAGTATCAGTGTGAAAATATTTTGTAAATATAGAACTTATTATTCTTTACATATTTTATGTTACAGAAAATCTTACTTGCTTCTCTTTTTCAAGTGACTTTTTCAGTTCATTCTGTTCCTTAAGTGCATTTTCTGTCTGTACTTGAAGCTGATGCTTTAATTCTTTGCAAGTTTTTTCCTAAAACAAACAAACAAAAAACTACATTATGCAGAAGATACTTGTAGTAGGTTTAAGAACTCTGATTTATACACTTAGTAAGATCCACACATAGAAATAAACCAGAATCACTGATGGTTTAGAATGGGATAGAATCATCCATTTCAGTTACAAAACTGGCAAATATTACAGCAATAAAGGTAGAGGGACGGGAAAAGGTTAAGAACTTCTATCATCAACCAACAGCAGAATACTCTGGAATTCTCTGGAATCCACATTTTATATCACATAATTAATTATAATTAACTTGTCATGCTATTTTAAAAGCATAACAATCCTTAAGAAAATGGAAAAAAGGAAATTTTTGTGAAAGAAAGCATTAAAAGAATAAATAAGGAATAATCACATATAACTTAAGAGGGAAGATGTACATGTAGGAGATGATTTCTCCAAACAGAAAGAAACATAAAAGTAACATACTAATACCATATATCTTTTGTGCTACTAAACACTTTCACTGATCTTCACATTGAGAACAAAAGAATTTTACCTTTGCTGCTACTCTGTTATTCTGGGTTAAAGTATTTCTGAGAATACATTCCCCGTTAAGAATTTCCTGAGACTGTGTGACTTTTTTTCCATATAGTTTAAATGTGTTTTATGGTATCTCCAAGGCATGGTATTATCCAGAGTTTTAGAATATTCAGTTGAGAAGTAGAAAGTTTATAGTGCCAGAATTAAAAGTCACGATCTTTCTGATCCTTTTCTGGTTTTTAGGCAAGTGAATAATGTCTGAATCAGCAGCTATATTCTCTGTGAAAATCTCTCTGAGGACAAACAGGAGGCAGTCTCCCAAATCTAGCATCATACCAGCAATAAAGAAAAACTGTTTATTCAACTGAAAGTTTCCTGGGCCTCTGGAAAATTATACTCACAAACACCAATATCTTTTTCTCAGGTTAAGCAATCCCAGTTCATTTCCTCGCAAGAATTAAAATCATTTAAATGTAGGATAAAAAGTCATCAGTGAATTAAGTAGAAACAAAAGTACGTTTTAAATAAAAATCATTTCTACCTAACCAAGTAAACATAAACAACTAACCAAATCTAATATAGCAGCTTTTCCTTTCTGGTTTTCCTTTTCAAATTCACTTTTGGAGTTCTTCAAAGAATCAGAAACTTTTGATAAATTCTCTTTGGCCGCAGAAAGCTCTGTCATTAGAGTTTCTTTCTCCATCTTCAATTTTTGCAGTTCTGCTGCTGCTGTTTGAATTTTGTTATTCAATTCCTTGTGCTGCATCTTTGCATCTTGACTTAAATTTTCAATTTCTTGTTCAAGGATTTTTTTTTCTTCCTCTTGCTTGGTAAGCATTTGCTTAATATTTTCAAGAGCTTCAGATTTTTTCTGTAGTTCCAACTTTGTACTGGATACTCTAGATATTTAAGAAACAACTTTTTAAATGATGCATAATTTGCCACGAAAAATTAATAATTATTGAGTTTTAAAACTTCCTTGTGTAGCTCAGAATAAAAATAAATTAATGTCATAAAACCACACAACTGAAAAAACCTTAAATGTAATCTGATCATGTAACAGATGATTTGCTTTGAGTCAAATAAGTTAGTGGTAAAGCTAAGACTACCTAACAATTCTCCTGACTTAATCCAGTCTTATCTATTGCAATAGATGTCCCCCCAAACTGTACATATAGCAGACCTTCTAACATATAGCACACTCTCTAATCTACAATAGCCAGAAAAGTTTTTCGTGTACCTTAAAGAACCTATTCACTGTTAGCCCCCAAGCATATAGAGAATTTTGCCTCATTCCTTGAAAACATACAACACATTATGCTGTCTTTTAGGTATTAAACTTCAAACATGATTAACCCAGAAAAAAATAAGGCAAATTTCATCTCAAGCACAGAGAAAAAAGATTTACTTTAATCCTAGAGCCTAACAGATTATTCAAGAAACTTGTTATCATTTGTCCCTTAACATAAATTTGCTACACCTGAATGAAAAAGCTGTAAGAATAAGGAAATGAAAATATAGCTTCAAGAAAGTTAAAAACTTCTATTGTTTTGATAAAATTATGAACAAAATTATGAACCAAATTCAGTGAAATTATGCACTAAAAGAAAAACACATTAAAGATAAACAATTCTACGGGGGCGCCTGGGTGGCGCAGTCGGTTAAGCGTCCGA